GTTTTGTATCCCGCTTTAAGCGACCCTTCCACCAGCGCTATAAATTTTTCACAGGCAATCTCTTTTTTGATAATTTGCATGATAACGTTGTGATCTATAGAATCAAAACAGTTAGTTATGTCGCCTTCGATGGCCCACGTTTGGTGTTTTTTTATTCCACCTACTCGAGAGACCGAAATGCCTACATTAATTGCAGGTCGAATTCCTGCATTAAATAAATCTGCAGACAGGAAAATTTATCCATCTGTTATAAAAATTACATTAGTAGGCATATATGCAGAAACATCCCCAGCCTGTGTTTCAACTATAGGTAATGCAGTCATACTTCCTTCTCCTAACTGAGAACTTAGTTTTGCAGCTCTTTCTAATAATCGAGAGTGCAAATAAAAAACATCTCCTGGGTAAGCTTCTCGTSCTGGAGGACGTCTTAGTAAAAGAGACATTTGCCTATAAGCTTGAGCTTGCTTGGAAAGATCATCATAAACTACTAACGTATGACGTCCTTTATACATGAAATATTCTGCAAGGGAAGCTTCAGTATAAGGTGCAAAATTATTGTCATCCTCAAATCCAACTCCATCGGACCGGTTCGACCGTAGCCGATGTGAGAATATCCTTAGTAAAAGATAACCCATACGATAAATAGAATAGTTGCAAATCTATTTCGGTGCGAGAGTCGAAAGGATAATAAAATGCCATAAGGTAAAACATGAAATAGGAATGACACCGGTTGAACACCATAAATTTGAATATGACAAATCAAGCCAGTGTGAGGTTGGACTTTAGAAGATAACCGACAAGGCTGTCGGACCATCTTGGTTTTAAATTAACGAATTATGCCGCCTAAACTATCCATTTGATTCTCATATTGTCAGTTGAGACCTAAGTGCCACCCCTTCTCTTTAGTGTACCCCGGGGTTTGTGGTTCTTATGGCACGAACCCCATCCATGGGAATGCCGCCTATGCGCATCCACCTTAGGACTAATTCTTCATTTGGTCGGACTTCTTGAGGCGTCGGTCTCCCATTGGGCGAGGGCACCTAAGACGACCACCTTTAAGGTCATTATGCTAGGCCTCTCTTACTCTGATTTGGGAGAGCCGATGTCCGTTCCTAGTCATCTTGCACCCAACCCTTTAGGAAGTGGTGTGGGGTACTCCTCCTCACCCGAGCACAAAACTCGGATCTCAAAAGTCGGGTCGTCTCCATGGAATCGACAAAGTACTCTCTTGTGAGAACGGTCAACCCTAGGTCGATAACAATGCCGGCTCCTGAAGCAACGAACCCCCGTCCCAAATGCTTCTTAGAGACGGGGAGTGCACCACCAACTTTGAAAGAAACTTGTTGATCCCTTCCTCCCTCGCGAAGTGACTTGGACGAAAATAGAGTCAAAGGAGGTAGATAATGAGAATTGTTGGACATGTACAAACAAGTTGGGTTATGTGGGATAAAATGGATAATCCGTGGATGAATTATAAGTTCAATTGATCCTAGTTTTTTTTAATTCACAGGTTCCTTTTACGACACCCGTTGAGTTAACTGTTTTCAAAACACGTCCATATAGCACATATGCAGGTAGAAAGGCAAAATGGAGAACTCCTTTAACATTTCCAGTGTGTGCAATCAACCTCCTTTGCGAGCACCTTTTTACTTACCTGCACATTCAAAAATAACCAACAAGGCCAACAATCCGATCATCCATACTTCCGTCAGATCCCTGCTCTTCACATGCATGACCACACATCCTCTACTCCACCTTTTCCCTTTGAATATTCAATGAAAATCAGGGTCAAACAGAGCGTAGGCTCACACAGGTGTGAAGGGGGAACTGAGTTGCTAATTAACCTTGAGTGAGGTTTGAATCGACTCACTCAAGAAAGCAAAGTAGTCACAATGAAAAAGTTACTGCTACCGTCTTCACCCGAAAATAACGCCCGGGCGTTATATTCAACTTATCCCAAAAAGGTCTCGATTATGTTTTTACTCGTTTTCTCCCGAATATAACGCCCCTTCGAATATAACGCCCGGGCGTTCTATTCGAACAAGTAATTGTAAAATGTCTGTTTTTTTTTTTTTCCGTGTTCCTCGTGTTCTGAAAAGCACCAAGCTTCTCATCCTTGGAAAAAAGAAACATTTGTTTGTTGGAAAACGGCTCTGCACGCCGTGTGTGAAGGAGGGCCTGCAGATTTTGGCCTTGACCTGGAAAAGGCTGGTAAAAGCACAAAATGGGGCCATGTGGGTTGGTTGCTGCACACAGCATTTCCAACCAACCGGTGGGGCCCAACCCCCGGTTGGTTGAAGATGCTCAGGGCCAGCCAAAGATGCTTAGGCCAGGGTACTTACAGTTCAGCCCCATGCAGATTCTGAAAGGGGCCCCAGGGCACAGGTACTGGGATAGGGTGCAACCAGTCCATGGAGCACCGGTAGGATTGCAGCATGGGCGAACATTGGTGTTTGAATGATTGCAATCGTTTTTTTTTTTTTTTTTTTTTTTTTTTTTTTTTTTTTTTTTNTTTTTGTAACTTCCCACGGCGGCAACACTTGAGGAGGTGATAAGAGCATCCTCCTAAAGTGGCCCCGTTATCGAAGGCTTTTTCTTTTTTCTTAAACTCGACTTTCACGTTTGAAACGCAGGGGTCCTCACAATATACCCGGCGTAAATAGTGGGAGCATTATCCAACTTCATTTTTTTTCATTATTTTCTTCCGGCTGCTCCCTTCTATTGCTGGGGAGCCGCACCTCCTGGAAAGCGGGTCCAGCGTCCCATTTACACATTATATAGCTGAAAGTGAGTTCTTGGCTGCCAGCATTGACTGCCCCAAAAAGACTGGGGCGTTGACTGTGCAGCTAGAAAGTGAGACCTTTCCCAGCTTCGCTTGAATGAGACCAGTCGGGAAAATCCTACGAGAGGGAAACAAAACTGAGAGCAGAAAAACCTGCTACTTTACCCTCACAATCTCTACTCCTAAAAGTACGACTAAGACAAAATTGAGAGTTCACTTGGGAAAAAGTGACAAGAGGGAAACGAAACTGAGAGCGGAAAAACTACCTACTTTGTCCTCACAATGTCTACTCTCAAAACTACCACTGCAACAAAACTATCTCGCCCATCCATATCTAAAATACTATACATAACAGATCTGCGTGAGTGGGTGCCTACCCACACCACCACCAAGTGTACAACCTCCCTAAAGCGCGGGTTAAAAAAAAGTGAACAGTATGCAAAAACCACCCCAAAGTTGTGGTTCACAACAAAATTTGTAGAAGCTAACGAAATAAGTAACGTATCACTTTCTCGATGTGTTTGTCAAACAGACAATGCTGCCGAGTTCAGAGCGTGATTGTAAGCTTCACATACAATCATGCAACCTGAAAAAGAGCGAACTTTAAAGCTTGAGAACATAAAAATCATTGACACAAACTAACTCAGCGACAAACATGGAGTTGTTTGGCGCAAAGCTGCGAACAGAAGAGTCTGCAGCATCCTGCACGTGAATGGTGCACTTCTCACACTCGCTGACCCCGAAGCAGACAATGTCCTCTGCGAGAGTGACACCAGTTAGTATCCCTTCGAACAAACTTGGATTAGTTATGTCGGTCACCTCCTCCATGTCCTTCATGGATTCAACAACGGTGTACCCGAATTCTTTGCATGTGATGATTGCTTCTGGACCATAAACAGCACGGTGTAGGCACTGCCACAGACTGCAAGGTTCGGCTCCAATTGCATCAACAAGAATGAAATATGCAGGCGGTTGCAGAAGCTCCAGATTAAAACCATCCGCAGCTTCCGTGATCTCTTTGTCGAAGGCAGCATCCCGCTCTTCCATATTCAGAGTGGGGCTGAACAATGCTTGCAATGGTGCATGAAGCTTCGCCAAGTCGAAGTCTGCTTTCAACTGGAGTCCGCAGACTTCGAAGGCATTGGTGATCTCTTGCTTGGTCTTCATTTGAACCCAATCACATACCCAATCAGCCACCATCTGATAGGACGGATACTTCGGATTGCCTGCTTTTGTTTGCAGGTTGGTGTTTTGAAGTGCCCTGTGAATGTGTCCATCATACTCACGAGTGTAGTGTTGCTGAAAAGAACGATTGACTGCCACGTCAAGTGGCTGCAACAAACTCGTGAGGTTGGGCGGAATGATCACAACGTGTATGTTCATCTTCTTCAGTCGATCATTCTCCGGCAGCTTCAAATGTGGTCCATAACTGTCCACAATGAGGAGTACTGACACACGATCGAATGCAGTCTGTCGTCGGCTGACGATGGTGTTGTTTATGTATGACATAAGTATGTCATCGCTCCACATCCTAGTGTCATTCACCTCTACATGCACTGGAGCATCAACAACTGGCTTATTTTTTAACTTCGAGAAAAGAATATGAGGCTTCAAGATTTCACCGGCAAGTGAGGTGGTGAAGGTTGCAGTGAACCTTTTGTGTGATGTCCCACCCTTTCGCAACAACACATCTCGTGTTCCCCGCTTGACAATTGTGGATGATGGCTTTGTCTCAAAATAGCAGGGAACCTGATCCATATTGAAAATATTCTTCGGTGCTATTTTATTATTTTCAACCACCCGGTGCACTGCATTAATGAATTGCCTGCAAAGGTCTGCAGCATCATCTGGAATGCATCGTGTTGTAGTGTGCCTACGTGCAACAAAATGTTTTCGTCGTTTGACCCGTGACAGCCACCCTTCTGATGCGGCAAACTGCACATCCTCCGGCACATCCCCTTCCTCTACTCTACGCTGGTGAATCAGTCGGGCCTTTGCTTTTATGTATTGCTCCCTCACTCTGAGTCCTTTCTTATTTTTTGCCAAAATTCATTCTTCGAGCTCGTCCTCTAAGTCTTTGTGGTCTGGTTTCCTTCCCCCTCCAGGTAACCGACACTGAGTGCAGCTGGCCTTTGTCCTATCTAACAAAGAGTTTTCCAACTCTTCACGTTGATGCACCCATTGACGAAGCGTCGTTTTGCTCACACAGTGCAGCTTGGCGAGAGTGTCCATCCCCTTCCCTTTCTCCCCTGGTTTGTAATCTCGTATGATGTCCAACTTTGCTTTGATTGACCAGGACTTCCGTGGTGTTTTCTCTTTTGCAGTATTGGTAGGCGCCATGGTTCTGCTGGCTTGATTGTCCTCCTCAATCCCTTACGTGCACCCTCTTCTTCCTCTCTCCTCTTAATCTCCAATTGAGGGACTACTTCAGAGTCTCTCCCGCAATGAAGTAGAATGGATGAAAGCAGGTCTCTCCCTCTGATCACAAAAAGTAAAGGATACGTTATTCATAATTAGCAAAAGCCAAATCTTAGGGAAAGTACTATCGTTTTGTGAAGAACAAAAAAACGATGAGAATGTGAACACTATTGATGTGTACAGGCAGGGCTTCGTAATTGCGAGCGCAATCGACTGCTGCAAAAGTGATAAAAAAAGGGGTAACTTCAGTGGAGTCACAAAAACGAGTTATAATTGCGCTACCGAGAAAGATACAGTTTGCAATTGCAGTTTGGGCACCCTACCTGGCCACAAAGCTGGGTTGTATACAATGACTATACATTGCCCCAACTGCAATTCGAAACTGTATCTTGGCCCGTAGTGCAATTATAACTCATTCATGTGACTCCCGCGTACTTTCCCCTATAAAAAAATTACAGGCAGGGCCTAGAGACTGTATACCCCATTACAGCGGGGCTGGACCGGGCCCTGCGGAATGGGAATGGCGTCCTCCCCCTGCAGTCCTGATCGTATGTGTTTTCAAAATGGCACTGCTCCATGCTCTCTCTCTCTCTCTCTCTCTCTCTCTCTCTCTCTCTCTCTCTCTCTCTCTCTCTCTCTCTCTCTCTCTCTCTCTCTCTCTCTCTCT